CCAACCCCCCCTCCCAGTTGTGTATTGTCAGCAGACTCACTGAGGGGATTTTCCATCCCTTCATCCAGGTCACGGATCAAAAAAGGTCAAATATACACCCTTAAGTTTTGCTCCGATCCCTCTCCTAAAGCGAATGATTTACACCCTGCTGTAAATGCCATAAATTTCCTTTCCACAATTAAAAAGATACTGAACGTGCTGCTGAACACCTGAATTTAAATAAAAATAAATTAAAAAGGTCTGTAATTTGCTGCTACGTGGCATTGTGCTGCTGTTCCCCCTCCTCACCCACGGCTCCACACCACCGTGACGGTGGCAGCGGGTCGTGACAATGGTTTAAAAAAAAAACCCAAAACAAGGTGTTGCCCAGCTGTTAAGAGAACGTGTAGATTTGGAAAGTGAAAAAAGAAAAAAAAAATTATATATATATATATATATATATATATCTCTCACTGGATCTTGTAGATAAGACACCCAGAAGGTGTCCGCCTCCCAGCAGGACACTCCTGCCTTATCTGCGTGGGTGCAGCCATGGGGTCCTGCACCTCCTGCCCGACCAGTGGCCACGATAACCAAACCCAGGTCCTCCTAATCAGCTACTGAGTGGCCCAGGGGCTGCAGGCACCTTCCCTGGGCAGGGACTTAGGAAAACCAGGAGCCTTTCGCTCCGTTTTGCGGGTGGTTTCTCACTTCTTGGTGTATTTCTGGCAGCAGGTGGGTTCTTCAGCCCTTTAAAAGCTGCCCTCGGGTGCAGAGGCCCCGTAGAAGAAGGTTACAGACCCACAAGGGCTCGGATGGTGGGGCTGATTCATCCTTTCACTCAGCTCCTCGCAGTGATGCAACACGCGGGCAGATTGCGGCCGTGTATGTTGCATCGACTTGTTGGTGTATAAATGAGTGTTCCTGGTGTATAAGCGAGTGATCTCAGTCTATAAATGAGTGTTGTCGGTGTGTAGATGAGAGTTCTTGGTGTAAAAATGAGAGTTCTCGGTGTATAAACGAGTGTTCCTGATGTATAAGAGAGTTCTCGGTGTATAAATGAGAGTTCTCAGTGTATAAAAGAGAGTTCTGGGTGTATAAACGAGTGTTCTCTGTGTATAAACGAGTTCTTCGTGTATAAATGAGAGTTCTTGGTGTATAAATGATTGTTGGTGTAGAAACGAGTGTTCTCAGTGTATAAACCAGAGTTCTCACTGTATAAATGAGTGTTCTCGGTGTATAAATGAGTTTTCTCAGTGTATAAATGATTGTTGTTGGTGTATAAACGAGTGTTTTCAGTGTATAAATGAGAATTCTTGGCGTATAAATGTTCTCGGTGTATAAAGGAGCTGTTGGTGTGTAAATGAGTGTTCTCGGTGTGTAAATGAGTGTTCTCGGTGTATAAACAAGTGTTCTCAGTGTATAAATGAGTGTTCTTGGTGTATAAATTAGTGTTCTCGTGCATAAATGAGATTTCTCAGTGTATTAATGATTGTTGTTGGTGTGTAAACGAGTGTTCTCAGTGTATAAAGGAGTTGTTGGTATGTAAATGAGTGTTCTTGTGTATAAATGAGAGTTCTCAGTGTATAAATGATTGTTGTTGGTGTATGAACGAGTGTTCTCAGTGTATTAATGAGTGTTCTTGTGTATAAATGAGATTTCTCGGTGTATTAATGATTGTTGGTGGTGTATAAATAAGTGTTCTCAGTGTAAAAGGAGTTGCTGGTGTGTAAATGAAATTTCTTGGTGTATAAATGAGTGTTATTGGTGTATAAACAAGTGCTCTCGGTGTATAAATGAGAGTTCTTAGTGTGTAAATGAGTGTTCTTGTGTATAAATGAGATTTCTCAGTGTATTAATGATTGTTGGTGGCGTATAAACGAGTGTTCTCAGTGTATAAAGGAGTTGCTGGTGTGTAAATGAGAGTTCTTGGTGTATAAATGAGTGTTGTTGGTGTATAAACAAGTGCTCTCAGTGTATAAATGAGAGTTCTTGGTGTATAAATGAGTGTTCTTGGTGTATAAATGAGTGTTCTTGGTGCCAGGCTGTGCTTTTACCAGCACGGGTGGCTTTGCCCTTCGCTGCTCCTCTGCCCCGATGGGGTTTTGGGTGGTGGGTGGGGGAGGTCCTGAAGCTCCTGAGGGACCTTCCAACCCCCTCCCCGGGACGGGGTACACCCAGCCGTGGTGGTGGTGCCCTGGGAAGCAGCAGGGGTTGCACAAGAGTGGTTGGTTTTTTGTAAACCTCATCGAGTTGACGTCGCGGAGGAGCCGGGAGGGATGACTCTTCCTCGCCGCGCCGGGCAGGGGTGGCAGGAAACCAGCCAGGAGACACGAGGCTCTGCCTTTTCCTGCCCCATGGGTCCTCCTGACGCCACCCAACCACCGGCCCGACCAGGCTCCCCCTTCCTTTCCACAAACGAGGAAAGATTTCGTCCCTTTTCTTCAAGAAAAGTGAGGAAAATCTTCAGCCTGGGCATCTCCTGCCCCCGGCGCCCTGAGGGGTGGCAGGAAACCAGCCAGGAGACACGAGGCTCTGCCTTTTCCTGCCCCATGGGTCCTCCTGACGCCACCCAACCACCGGCCCGACCAGGCTCCCCCTTCCTTTCCACAAACGAGGAAAGATTTCGTCCCTTTTCTTCAAGAAAAGTGAGGAAAATCCTCAGCCTGGACATCTCCTGCCCCCGGTGTCCTGCTGGGTGGCCCAGGAAGCAGGAGCAGGAAGGATTCCTCATGTCAGTGCTCCTCAGGGTTAAAATATAACCCGTTTTTACCTGGGAACACCCCGTATTTCAGCCTGATTTATACCATTTCTTATCAGGGAGCCAGACTTAAGACCGTGGGGGAAAGGGCTCATTAAGGTGACACTAATTTCCCCACCCTCCTCTCTGCTCTGCCAAGAGCTCTGGGAGGAGATAAGCTGCTGCCGACTTCATGGAGAAGAAAACCTCAATAAACTATGAGGAGCAACACCAGAAAGTGCTTTAATTCAGGCGTTTCCATGAAAAAAAGGCAGCCCTTGAGGAAAGGGAGCTCCTGTGCCCCCGGGTGATGGGGACACGGGTGATGATGGGGGGTGGCTCTTCCAAGCTCCCAAATGTCACCGACGCCGGAGACGCGAGCGTCAAACCATCTGCCACCAACGGGTTGAGTCTCTTCAATCTCTACCTGGACGTTTGACACTGTCCCACACCCAAGAGCTCTGGGAGGAGATAAGCTGCTGCTGACTTCATGGAGAAGAAAACCTCGATGAAGTATGAGGAGCAACACCAGAAAGTGCTTTAATTCAGGCGTTTCCATGAAAAAAAGGCAGCCCTTGAGGAAAGGGAGCTCCTGTGCCCCCGGGTGATGGGGACACGGGTGATGATGGGGGGTGGCTCTTCCAAGCTCCCAAATGTCACCGACGCCGGAGACGCGAGCGTCAAACCATCTGCCACCAACGGGTTGAGTCTCTTCAATCTCTACCTGGACGTTTGACACTGTCCCACACGACATCCCGGTCTCAAAATTGGAAAGTCATGGGGATTGGATGGATGGATGGACCACTTGGTGGACCAGGAGGTGGCTGGATAGCCTCACTCAAAGGGTTGAGGTCAACGGCTCAAGGTCCAAGTGGTGGCCAGTGACCAGTGGGGTTCCTCAGGGGACCGCCAGGAGGTGGCTGGATAGCCTCACTCAAAGGGTTGAGGTCAACGGCTCAAGGTCCAAGTGGTGGCCAGTGACCAGTGGGGTTCCTCAGGGGACCGTACTGGGACCAGGGCTATTTAACATCTTTGTGGGTGCACCCTCAGAACGTTTGCTGATGACACCAAGCTGGGCGACACGCTGGAGGGAAGGGATGCCATCCAGAGGGACCTGGACAGGCTGGAGAGGTGGGCTCGTGCAAACGGCATTGTGCTATCAATACAGAGCAGGGGATGAGGTAGTAGAAAGCAAGAGGAGAAGAAGGACTTGGGGGTGTTGGTGGACGAGAAGCTCCACACGAGCACAAATCCAGGTTGGGTGGAGAATGGCTGGAGAGCAGCCCTGAGGAGAAGAACTTGAAGGTGTTGGTGGATGAGAAGCTCCACACGAACTGGCAGCCAACCCCATCCTGGGCTGCATCAAGAGAATTGTGGCCAGAAGGGCCAGGGAGGGGGTTCTACCCCTCTGCTCTGCTCTGGTGAGACCCCACCTGGAGTAGTGTCCAGCTTTGGGGTCCTCAGCACAGGAAGGATATGGAGCTGTTGGATGGGTCCATGGGAGGGACACGAGGATTCTCAGAGGGATGGAGCCCCTCTGCTGGGAGGGGGGGCTGAGAGAGCTGGGGGGGTTCAGCCTGGAGAAGGCCCTTCCCACTTGCACCCCAGCCCCCCTTGCACACTCACCCCACTTACACCCCAACCCCCCTTGCACACTCACCCCACTGCACCCCAACACCCCTTGCACACTTTCACTTCTTGTACCCCAACACCCCTTGCACACCCACCTCACTTGTAGCTGAACATGCCTTGCACACTTTCCCCCACCCCGGTGCCGCCGCCGCCCCCGCGCCGCCTATGGAGGGCGAGGAGTACGAGAGCCTGCCCAGCGGCGCCTCGCTCGGCACCCACATGATGGCCGGGGCGGTGGCGGGCATCATGGAGCACACCGTCATGTACCCGGTGGACTCGGTCAAGGTGCGTGGCGGAGGGTGGGGGTGGGCCGTCTTTCCCCCCACTCTCCTCCCCCGGGACCTCCGGGAGCCGTTCCGGTAGCTGCCGGGGTCGGGGGGGGCGTGCAACGGGGAGGGGCGTGCAACGGAGTACCGGGGGTGTGTGCAACGGGGTACCAGGAGTTCACGAGTGTGTGTGCAACGGGGTACCGGGGGTGTGTGCAATGGGGTACCGGGAGTGCACGGTTATGTGTGCAGTGGGGTACCGGGGGTGTACGGGGCACCAAGAGGGCACGGGAGTGTG